ATGATAGAGATAAGATATTAAAGTTAGGTGTTTTCGCCATTGTTTAAAACTTTTAAATATAATAAAACCTAACAGTAAACATTTAATAGTAAACATTTAACCTTCATAAAAACAGTGTTCTAGATTCTCAACATGGACAAAACAGCATGATTATCATAAAAACATGTTTTTTTATTTAACTACATGAATCTCAAGTAATATAATTTGAAAGAATAATACTTTTGTTTATGCATATACCTTTTCTCTGATTTTTCTAGAGGTATAAGCAGGGGTAACATTGAAAATATTTTACAACTGGTAGAACAAAGTCACTGACCAAACAGGAGAGAGTTCTGCTCTATGTCCCTGACACAAGTGTACTGAGCATGCCAGCAGAACACATGCTTACAGACATGGATTACAATCCTATATAATAAAGAAGTAATATGCAAATTAACCCTCACACCCTCACAAGATGGCTGCATGGGGCGACCAGGTCAGCACGGGGGTTAGTGAGGGACAACTAAACGACTGAACAGCAGGCTGTGTGGGGTGACCAGGCTGGTGGGGGGGCCGTGAGGGGTGACCAAGCTGGCAGGGGGCACTTAGGGGTGACCAGGCCAGTGGGGGGGTGCAGTTGGGGGCAACCAGGCTGGCAGGGGGCAGTTGGGGGTGACCAGGCCAGCAGGGTGGGGGCAGTTAGGGACATCCAGGCCAGCAGAGAGGGGCAGTTGGGGGCAATCAGGCTGGCATGCAGAGGCAGTGAGGGGTGATCAGGCCAGCAGGGGGGGCAGTTAGGGGTGATTAGGCAGGCAGACAGGTGAGCGATTAGGAGCTAGCAGTCCAGGATTGTGAGAGGGATGTCCGACTGCCGGTTTAGGCCTGATCCCCGGAAGTAGGACATCCCCCGAGGGGTCCTGGATTGGAGAGGGTGCAGGCTCAGCCTCCATGCACAAATATCATGCACGGGGCCCCTAGTATATAATAAACATATGCTTAAGATGGGGGCTGAGTTCAACATTAAAATATTTTGTACTTGCCCTAACCGGTTTGGCTCAGTGGATAGAGCATCGGCCTGCGGACTGTAGGGTCCCAGGTTCGATTCTGGTCAAGGGCATGTACCTTGGTTGCAGGCATGTCTCCAGTGAGGGGTGTGCAGGAGGCAGCTATTCAATGTTTCTCTTTCATTGATGTTTCTAACTCTCTATCCCTCTCCCTTCCTCTCTATAAAAAAATCAATAAAATATATTTAAAAAAATATTTTGTACTTAACTCTTTTATTGTAAGTGATTAAAACTGTATTAAATCATTTCCCCATGCCACACACATTAATACCAGGATCATTCACTACTTTGGAGAAGCAATAGAACTCTGTAATATGTATGCATTGGAGCTGAAAATATCTATCAACAGTCAATTTTTTTAACCAAAAGAGTACTTATCTTTTAAAACTGAATAGTTTTATTTTATTTTATTATTTTTCCCATTTCAAATACCTCTTTTTAGAAAATGTTAAGAAGTTTTTGCTGGATATAAGTTTTAGGTGTAAGCATGCATATATGAATAAAAACAATTTTTAGTGTATCTTTTGCTTAAAACTCTAAAAGTAAAACATCTGGAATCAATTCAGTATCTCTTGAAATATTGCCTTCTAAGATCAGTCTCAGGAAAGAGATGGGTTAGTATTTGGAATGACATGGACTTTATTTGGATTAAAATATTCCTCTAAAGTATCAAATCAATTTTTAGAATCAATTCTAAGTGGCCATAAAAGATAATTATGGCTCTCCCAAGTGCTTTCTCTCCAGCTTTCCTGTGTTCCTGAGCTACCCAAGAGCACAGATGGCAACTTGCGAAACATTTTTTTCTGCTCTCCAGAACGTAACAAAGAAGAAAACATCACAGAGAAGCCTTAAAATATCTTTTCAATTAATTTAGGTTTTCATGTGGAAATAACCAAGAATTTCAAACCCCATCTCATTAAGCTGCCTGGGGGTAACTCCACCTCACAGCTTGAAGTGATAAGGTATCTGGGCTCTGTGTCATAGATGCAGGAAGTTTCTTCCTAGCCCTTCTTGCCATGGCTATTGTGATATGACAAAGAAATTAAGTTCCTTGGGAGTTAAAACCTCAATCATCTTTCCCAATCTTGCTGAGTAACGCAACCTAAATGGAATATTCTGCCAAAAGAAATACGAATTACTGGGATGTGATGAGATGATATCATTGAGTCACATGCAAGACAAAGCATGACAGCCAAGTGGCCAGGAGATAAGAAATGCTTCCTAGGAAACCATCACAACAAGACTGAGAATTGTTCTAGGAGAGAATCCCTGGGATTGGTTCTAAGAGAGACAAAGCCAAAGGGACTTTATGGATGCCTGGTACTAGGCCAATTGGTCAATTATTTGGGAAAAATATATAACCTAATCAATAGAGAACCTTACCATACAAAACAGAGAGAAATCAAACACATAGCTTAGAATTTAATTATTACAAAATCAAACCATTTATAAAACTAAAAAGGGGGAGAAAATACTTATCGCTCTCTGGATAGGGAAGGGCTTTCTAAAATATAATGCAATTAAAGATGTGACAATGGAAGAGATAAATAATTTGATTAAGCAAATTTCAAGACTTGACTATTTTAAAAATTCTCATAAAGTTGATAACACATGTAAGAATAATTTTTTCTAGTAGGTCAATGTTCTTTAACCTATGTCTTTAAACTATTCAACAAAAATACCATGAGATGCCCAATAAACAAGAGCCAAGTAAAGATCATTAAGTGAAAAATGCAAATGGCTAATTAACAAGTGAAGAAAGTACTACTTTATCAGCAATCAAGAGATAGAAATAAAGAAAACATTTTACACTATTACATTAGCTAGAAATTTAGTGATGGAGATACAGAATGTTAATAATCAGGGTACTATAGCAATGTATAACTCTTATACATTGCTGGCAAGATGTAAAATTGGTATATCCTTTCTGGAAAGAAATTTGACCAGACATATTAAGAAGTTAAGAACTGTTAAATACTTAAACTGTTAACTCTCATTCTAAGAATCTATTGAAAGGAAATAATCAGAAATGTGCATAAAGACTTATGATCATAAATGTTCACTGAAACATCACTTACAATTAAAATACCATTAGAAATAACTTAAATGCCTACAAAGTGGAAACTGATTGGGTAGGTGAAAGCATATTTAGATCATGTAATACATCGCAATTAAAATTATGTATATGAAGAGAATTTAATGACATGAATATGCTATGTCATATGGCAGCTAAGTAAAAAGAGTGAGGTATAAAATTATATAACATTCTTTTAATTTTATAATAAAAATATGCTTAGAAAGAAAAAAATATTCTGAAGTTTTAACAGTAGACTACAAATACTTTTATTACTAGTCATTTGGCAGTGTAATAGAAAGTTTTGTTAATATTTCCTTTTGAATTTTATATATTCTAAATCTTTAAATATTAATTAAATAATTAAGAAAAAATTAAAACTTAAGAAAGAAGGAAGGAAAAAAAGAAAGAGGAAGACCGAAAGAAAGAACAAGAAAGAGAGAAGGAAAACAAGGAAGGGAGGAAGGGAAGAAGGGATGAGGGAGGGTAGAAGGGAAAGTAGAAGTCGGGGAGGGAAAGAGGAAAAAGATAGCAAAGAAAAATAAAACAAGATTTATGGCTTGGGAATGTACCTGCAATCTCCTTTTTTTATATTATTATTTGAAATACATCAAAATACTTTTCTGGGCAATCATAATAATCTGATAATCCCCACTATACACACTTTTCTGCCAATTCAAACCACAGAAACAGTCACCTCAGCAAGATTATTTCTCAGTTCTATTTTATCAAAACCCATTTGTCACTGAAAACAATTCCGTATTTTATTTTCTTTCAATGGGGTATGTACTACCTTTTCCCCCATGGGACTATCTAATCAATGGAGTGTTCTGTGGACTACTTAATTAGACACAGAAAGATATCCATCCATATACTCACATGCACACACTCAGCCATGAATAGTCTTTTGCATGTTCACCTGAATATGGGATAGTTCCTGGCTGAATACTTCAGGACCTAATAACCAAAGTTAGGACCAAATTTCCCTCTTCTCACCAAAGTGCTTCCTCTACCTGCTCAGTGACATAACATCCTTCACTTTGTAACTGGGCATGTGATTTGAAATGCAAACATTTGTGTGATGGTTATAACAATGGCTTGCATTTACAACAGGTAGTACACAACTGTGAGAATGGTTCCTGAGAACGTATTTTGAAAGGTGAAGGGAAAATGGAGAATAAGGGACTGAGTTTCTGAAGTGAGAGAGAAAAGGGTGTCGAGATGGTGGGAATTGGTGGTACATAAAATAACAAACATTTCCTGCACTAAATACAGGCTGGGCACATAAAAAAAAAAAAAAAAAAAAAGGCAGGCAATGGGGGGATGAGGACACATATGTAATACCTTAATCAATAAAGAAAAAAAATTAAAAATAAATAAATAAATAATACAAAATACTTTCAAAACTATAAAAAAACAAAATAAAACAAAACAAAGCAATTGCTTTATCATTTTGAAGAGTTAACTCTTATGCGTAGGAAGTGATAGAAGATAGATGAAGATTTAAACAGTAGCAATGTAAGTAGAGCATGTACCAATTTGCTCTTGGAATATGTTATAGTAAAAAACAATCCACAATACAGAAGATAATAAACATAATCTCAAAATACCTAAAATACTGAAGTACTAGAGTAACTATATTGAATATCAGACTTTTAGATATTTAAATAATTTGGTATGATTTTGTCTTATACATCCAACTTTGTTTTCTAAAAAAGAAATGAATGCCTAAAATGTTAAGTACTTTTACCTAACACCCATACATAGCTAACCAGTTGATTCATTCTCAGTACCCAATAATAGGACTATTTCCTTATTTCAATAAAAATACAATGCAAACATAAATTTTTAAAAAACATTCTTGAAAATAACCTGGTACATACCACTGTGTTTGCTTGGTCATAGGTACTTTGAATTTTCCCGTTTACTTTGTTTATACCTGACAAAAACAAGGAAAAAAATGACATTATTTTCATTTCTTCTGGTTTCTATATCAATTCTTACTAATCACTATGAAAACAACTATAACTTATGCTCTCTCCAACTCGAGCATATTATTTTGTTTACTATAATTTAAAACACTGGTTTCCAATGAAGTTTTTGAATGAAAGGATAACAGGAAGAAAGCCCAGGGCCCCATAAAGTCTTCTTACATTCACTTCTGGTAGCTTTCCATCTGAATATGTGCACATATTATTAGTTTTGGCTAAATTTGTGTTCATAGGTCAGGGATTGATTTAAAATACTATAACAATCAATGAACTGTTATCAATGGCAGCATCAAATATTAGTACCATTTAAAAAACACAGACTCATTATAAAAAATAGATTCTGAAATATCAATACCCAATAAGTTCTGTTTATTTTTGTGTTTTCTCAAATACTAGAAGATGGGAATTAACTGGTCTCATATTATACAGTTAATACATAATTAGAAATTTGAACATTAGGGGGAAAAGAAAAATATTACAGAAAGCTAAGATAGTTCAGGTACTTACTTCCAATAATAGTCTTGTGATTGAAAATCTTACTCCATATTCCACCTTCTACATTGTCTTTCACTCCGAATTCATAAACTGTGTTGGGCTTTAGATTTTCTACAATTGTTTCAGTGGCTGGACAGAGTTGAAAAATCCATTTCTTTTCCTTATCCTTTTCTCTATAGCGAATTGTATAAAATCTGTTGAAAACCCAAAATATGATGCTTTGAAATCACAGGGAGATTCAGAATGTTTTGTTTCTTAATACATCACAGCCTATTATCTACTCCAAAGGCTATATTTAATATTATCTTCTGTTTCAATTTTTGAAAAATTTGTAGAAAACATTAAAAAATACCTTAATGTAATCTTAAGTTTTTAATTTCTAATTGACAGTTAGGAGACTGTGGAGCAGCACATTTATGGTCTGACAGAATTCAGATTTCTCAGTTCTGTTATTGCTATTTTGAAAAATTAACACTGGATGTTCACTTTATTCCAGTTATGCATAGAGTAGAACATGGTGTAATTTTCTGAATGCTTAATGCAGTAGTTTCATAACTGTAGGGATTCAAGCCTTTCACCCCATGAAAATTGCATTAGAGGTGATTTTATTCAATTTTGTTAAAGAGAAACCTGAAACTACAAAATGCAACCAGGGCTACATTTCAAGGGTGAAAATTTCTTATGATTATAAACAAAGAATTAAGACCAACAGCCAAGCTAAGGGTACAATGAGAAAAATCAAACAATGTAAATTCAAGATCACTGTTACATATTAGCTTATGGCTTCATATTATAGTCATTATATATAGTAAAGTAATAATAATCCCCACCACTATTTTTTGCACCTTTATCATATGCTAGATTTTACATATCTCATTTACTTGTCACAAAAATATCTCAAGTAGTAGAAATTATTAATCCCATTTTGCAAATGTGAAAATGGAGTTTTGGAAAGTCACTTAACTTGCCTATTGTCACCCAGGTAGTGACTTTTCCTAGTGGCAAAGGCAGCACCAGAATATACAGAAAGACTCCTCTGGCTCTGCTCTCCACAGCCTCACTGAGTAGGGCAGCAGATCAGGAGAGAGGATGTCCTCTGCTTCGGTCAGCTTCCTACCCTTGTCACATTGGTTTACTTAATAATTATGTAATATAGGCAAGTTCTAAATTCTAAAAGAGATAGTACACAAAACTACTTATTTAAAGAAGTTTCCTTATTTTTAAAGCAAAATATAGGACTGTGATAATAAACAGTGCTGCACAACCTAGCACACCACAGATACTCTATAAATATTTCTGGAATGACTAGAATGGATACTTAGGTGTTCATAAGGTCATTTTAAAGTCATCCTATCTAATAAAAGAGAAACATGGTAATTAGCATACATCCGCTACCCTTCCCATTGGCTAATCAGGGCGATATGCAAATTAACTGCCAGCCAAGATGGCGACCGGCAGCCAGGCAGCTTGAAACTAACATGAGGCTTGCTTGCTTCAGTGACGGAGGAAACCAACCTTCCCCGCCTGCCTTGCCGGCCTCTGAGCTTGCAGTTTGAAACATAGTTACAAATATAGAAGCTAAACAAAACCCCAGAAACCTGCTTTCATCCAGCCGGGATCTCAGAGCTGGAGTTGATACAGTGTTTCGATTATAGAACACAAACAGACCAGATACCTGCTTTCAGCAGCAGAGGCCTCAGAGCTGGAGTCAGAGCTAAAGCTGACCCAGAATAAAAAAAAAAGAAAAAAAGAAGCAGTTGGGAGCTTCAGTCACCCGCCAGCCTGAAAACAGCCCTCAGCCCCTCACCCAGACTGGCCAGGCACCCCAGTGGGGACCCCCCACCCTGAAGGATGTGTGACCAGCTGCAAACAACTATCATCCCCTCACCCAGGCTGGCCAGGCACCCCAGTGGGGACCCCCACCCTGATTCAGGACACCCTTCAGGGCAAACCAGCCGGCCCCCACCCATGCACCAGGCCTCTATCCTATATAGTAAAAGGGTAATATGCCTCCCAGCACCAGGATCAGCGGAACTGTGAGGCCACCTGGCACCGGGATCAGCGTGACAGGGGGCAGCACCCAAACCCCCTGATTGCCCTGCGGCTTTGTGTGTGACAGGGAGCGGGGCCACAACCTCCCTATCCGCCCTGCTCTGTTCATGACATGGGAAGGCGCCCCAAACCCCTGATCAGCCCTGCTCTGTGCCTGATAAGGGGGAGCTCCCCAACCCCCTGATCAGCCCTGCTCTGTGTGTGACAGGGTGTGGTGCCCCCACACACACACACATACACGGGCCCTGCTCTGTGTGTGATGGGGTAGAGCCATAACCTCCCCATCGGCCCTGCCCTGAGTGTGACAGGTGCGGTGCCCCAACCCCCTGATCCGCCCTGCTCTGTGTGTGACAGGGGGCGGTGCCCCAACTCCCCTATCAGCCCTACTCTGTGAATGACAGGGGGGAGCTCCCCAACCCCCTGATCGGCCCTGCTCTGTGGGTGATAGAGGGCGGCGACCCAACCCGCTGATAGGCCCTGCTCTGTGCATAACAGGGGGGAGCTCCCCAACCCCCTGATAGACCCTGCTCTGTGCATGACAGGGCATGGAGCCCCAACCCCCCTGATGGGCCCTGCTCTATGCGTGACAGGGGGTGGCACCACAACCTCCCCATCGACCCTGCCTTGAGTGTGACAGGGGGCGGTGCCCCAACCCCCCAATCGGCCCTACCCTGAGCGTGACTGAGGGTGGCATCACAACCTCCCAATCCGCCCTGCTCTGTGCATGACAGGGGGCTGTGCCCCAACTCCCCAATCGGCCCTGCTCTGAGCCCGACCAGGGGCTGCACCCAGGGATTGGGCCTGCCCTCTGCCACCCGGGAGCAGGCCTAAGCCAGCAGGTCGTTATCTCCCAAGGGGTCCCAGACTGCGAGAGGGCACAGGCCGGGCTGAGGGACTCCCCCTCCCCCCCAAGTGCACAAATTTTTTTTGCACTGGACCTCTAGTATATAATAAAAGCCTAATATGCTAAGTGTCCTGTCGTCCAGTCATCCATTCAACCAATTAAAGCTTAATATGCTAATGATATGCTAATGCCACTGTGGGTTTCCTTGGCTTGGCCTGCACCCTCTCACAATCCGGGACCCCTTGGGGGATGTCAGAGAGTTGGTTTCCTCCCGATCCCACAGGCCAGGCCTAGGGACCCCACTGGGGCACAAATTTGTGCACCGGGCCTCTAGTTAGAATACAATTGCTCTGAATGGCCAATGATTCAATCACCAAGATATATTGGTTTATTCCTTTTTCTTGTTATTGAATTTATTGGAGTGACCTTGCTTAAACAATTAGGTCTATAATTATATTTTTCAATGGTCACTGCAGAAGGTTTTACTTACCAAAATACACGAGTCCCATAAAATCAGTGCGAACTGAATGAAAATACAATAAATGTCTACACTGTACATGTGCAGAAGGCTTAAGACTTTTATTTATTTTGGTTTATCCATACAATAAACTCTGAAATGAGCAGAGCAAGAATTACTATAGAAGGAAAGGAGAGGCTGAGAAGTGTCTAATGTCTGATAACCAGTGAGAGAGCCAGGCAAAAGGTTAATACCTCTTGTATTGCATTGGACTATCTTTGTACTGTGATGCTTGGCAAAAGGAGATGGTAAAAGACAGGTAAAATGATGCAGAAGAGAAGAGTAAAAGGAATCACAATTCCTTTTAGCATTATTTAAGGCTTTTTATCATTTGTTTTATTGTGTATTTACATCACAGACTTCCCATTATTGCTGGAGGACACCCAGGATTAAATGTTGATTGCATCTTTTCTGTGGATGATTAACACGTTAAGCACCATGTCAATCACCGGTGACTGACACTATACTTTCGGGAAAGGAAGACAAAACAGGCTTGGCACTTGACGTGTTAAATTTAGGCACCAGTGCATGGAGGGGCAACAAGTCTATTAAACAGGTAGCAGCCCGTGAATGTCATCAGAGAAGACCTCTGGAAAGCCTTCCTCTGGCAATTTTGATTTTAAGAACACATCTCATACCCCAACTAAGTATAAAACTGTTGAAGGCAGTGTTTGGTTCAGCGGGCATTATTCTGTGCTTTGATGTCCTCGATAGTCTCAATATTGACAAGAATTATTATTATAGCTTAAAGAAATCCATAGCCCCTCAAAATGTAGTGGAGAAGGCAGGTAGTGGCTTGGATATTTGTCAGCTGCAAATTAGTAGCGTGACCTCGGGAGACTCTCTTTGTCCAATTATGCATAGATTTTTTTCCCATTGAAAAAGAAGGGAATTGGACTAGACTAGATGATCTTTAAGATTGTTTCTGTTACTAAAAATTTATTCTAGTTACATATTAGACATTCTAGTCCAGTGGTTCTCAACCCTTTGGCCCTTTTAAATACAGTTCCTCATGTTGTGACCCAACCATAAAATTATTTTCGTTGCTACTTCATAACTGTAATGTTGCTACTGTTATGAATCGTAATGTAAATATCTGATATGCAGGATGGTCTTAGGCGACCCCTGTGAAAGGGTCATTCGACCGCCAAAGGGGTCGCGACCCACAGGTTGAGAACCGCTGTTCTAGTCTAATAAAATACAAAGGCAGAACATAGAGTAAAACTCCAAAAACTCCAAAAACAAAATCTGTGATGTAGCTGACAGTGAATTATACTAAGTGGAGAAATGGAAGAATGTCAAAATAAAGTTAGTCTTTCACAAACTCCCTGGCTTGGTGCACATGGCAGGCCATCTATAGGCTTTCCATACCTTTTCAGCAATATTTTCTTTTTTAAAAATTTTTATCTTTGTTGTTGAAACTATTACAGATGTCCCTCTTTTTATTTTTTCCCAGTGACCCACTCTACCTCGCACCCACCTCTCCCAAGCCCTCACCACACTATGTCTGTGTCCATGGGCTATGCATGTATGCATATAAATTCCCCGGTTAATCCCTCCCAACAATGTTTTTATTTCTATGTGATTAACTACTACTAGATTTCCTAAAACATCTATTCCACACATTTTTTTGCTCTCTTCACATCAAAGTACACTTCCTGTAACCCCCTTTATCATTGTTCTTGTGTCCTGCCACACCAAGACTGTGACTACTGATATAAATTCTGTCCTCACTCCCTTCCTCAGAAAGTATCTCTCCCCCCCTTCACTCTCTCCCTGTC